CAGGTCTGGCAGCATCTGTGAAGAAAAAATCAGAGTTAATGTTTCTGGTCTGGTGACCCTTCCTCAGAAACATTAACTCTGATTTTTTCTTCACAGATGCTGCCAGACCTGCTGAGCCTTTCCAGCAACTTTGTTTTTGTTCCTGATTTACAGCATCTCGGTTTTTATTGAGGTGGTAGTAGGCTGCCTTCTTGAACCACTGCAGTCCCTGTGCTGTAGGTAGACCCACAATGCCTTTAGGGAGGGAGGTCCAGGATTTTGACCCAGTGATAGTGAGGAATCAGAGATATATTTCCAAGTCAGGTTGATGAGTGGCTTGGAGGGGAAATTGCAGGTGTTGGCGTCCCCATGTATTTGCTGCCCTTGTCATTCTAGATGGAAGTGGTTGTGGGTTTGGAAGGTGCTGTCTAAGGATCTTTGGTGATTTTCTGCACTATATCTTGTAAATAATATACACAGTGAACATTGGTGATGGAAGGATGTTTGTGTGTCTGATGCCGATCAAGTGGGCTGTTTTATCCCAGATGGTGTCAAAATTGTTGAGTTTTGTCAGGCCACATTTTTATTAGTATGTATTGGTTTCAGCCCCATGCCCAAATAAATGGTAGTGTTTATGGCAGAAAGGGCATCAGACTGTAAAAGCACCTATTAAACAAAATAGTGGTTGATGTGAAGTTGATCAACCAGTGTTGGATTCAGCCCATGTAATCGGAGAAAATGTCAGAACAAGAAGGAAAGATGGTTTGAAAACCAGCTGTTGTCAAAATCACAGCCACATTAACAGATTATTTTGAAGAATTCTGTATTCTATTGGTTACCATCTTATATTCTTGATGTTTCTTTCTTCCAGCTGGGACAAATTTTAAGAAGCCCATTTATGAAGTTTGTAGCACATGCAGTTTCATTCACCATCTTTCTAGGACTACTGGTGTTAAATGCATCAGACAGATTTGAAGGTGTAAAGACCTTGCCCAATGAAACTACCACAGATCATCCAAGACAGATCTTCAGACTGAAAACGACAAAGTTTACATGGACTGAATTATTAATAATGAAATGGATACTAGGTAAGGTCTTGTACTCATTTATGAACAGTACAAACTACAATGTTTAAAACATTTCTGGATAGCATTTACAATTGTTTCTTGATTATATATTGTAGAAGTGACAGATGCATTCATTCATTCAAATATGTATTCATATTGTAGTAAAACTGCTTAAGATGTATTTTGTTTAAAGCAGTGTAAAATATTAAGTAAAAATATTAAAATGCAATATAAGTCTGAAAAATCTTGTTGATTTGTCATATGAAGTTGTATGCCACCTGGTATCAAGTCATGCTGTCTACTTTTCACAGCCAACCACTAAGGGCAGCCAGTGTAAAATGGCAACAAAATTAAGGTCATGGTAAATGCATTTTGTTGAATTATAGAAATTGACAAATGCCTGGATGCAAGTTAAGAGCTATAATTCGCTTTTGCTACTTAAATGACATTCATAGTAGATGGCTCAGACTTTAACAAATGCGATCTAGCATCATTTTGGTCCCTTGATTACATTACAGTCTATGCTGTGAACACAATGCTTTATTAACAGATGGTCAGGGTTGATAGTTTAATCCTTTGTCCATTGCCATCTTCTATCATTCCAGTGCCAAATTGCATTGATTGAACTCGGAAACTGATCTTTTTAATAACAGGAGGACTGCCTATTTGTATGTAGCCCTCATAATTTTTGTTGTTACCAATGAGATTATAAACTCCACTAGCATAAAGTTGAATGGTTTGAATTATTCTTCACCATTAAGGTCACCAGATTATATATCTTGTTCACTTCAGGCTTATTATAAGCACATATTAACCTTCTTTCAATGCATCATACTGGTCAGAACAGAATATTCGTAAGGATTGTTCATTCAGTGTGATGTTAACAGACACGTATAATATGTCTTAATAATTTATTTTTAAACATGGCTATATCATGTTAATTTAAATGGAGAGACAATATAAGGAAGCTGGCAGCCACAATAATGATTTTCCAAGTCAGTGGATGAGGTTCTCTGCCAAAGGCACAAAATTCAAAACTGACATAGGAGCTGAATTAGACCATTCGGCCCATCGAGTCTGCTTCACCATTTGATCATGGTTGATCTGCCTCTTAACCTCATTCTTCTGCCTTCTCCTCATAACCCTCGAACACCTTACATCTATCCATCTCTGTCATAAATACACTCAATGATTTGGCCTCCACAACCTTTTGCAGCAATGAGTTTCACAGATTCACCACCCTCTGGCTAAAGAAATTCCTCCCCATCTCAGTTCTAAAAGGTCATTCCTTCACTCTGAGGCTGTGCCCTCAGATCCTGTTCTGTCCTACTTGTGGAAACATCTTCTTCACGTCCATTCTATCCAAGGCTGTCAGTATTCTGTAAGCTTCAATCAGATCCACTACATGCTCCTCCCCTCCCAAAACCAATCTTTTGAAACTCCACAGAGTATGAACCCTGAGTCCTTGACATGACAAGGCCTTCATCCTGGGATCATTTTTGTAAACCTGCTCGGGAACCCCTCCAATGCCTGTACATCCTTCCTTAGATATGGGGCCCAAAACTGCTCACAGTATTCCAAATGCAGTCTGACCAGAACTGTATCAGGTTCAGCAGTACATAGAACCATAGAATCCCTAAAGCATTGAAACAAGCCCTTTGGCCCAACAAGTCCACACCGACCCTCAAAGCATCCCACCCAGACCCATCCCCCTATAATCTACCTAATCTACACATTCGTGAACACTATGGGGCAATTTAGCATGGCCAATCCACCTAGCCTGCACATCTTTGGACTGTGGGAGGAAACCAGAGCACCAGGAGGAAACCCACGCAGACAAGGGGAGAATGTGCAAACTCCACACAGACAGTCACCCAAGGCTGGAATTGAACCTGGGTCCCTGGAACACCTTACTAATCAAGAATCTATCCATCTCTGTCATAAATACACTCAATGATTTGGCCTCCACAGCCTTTTGCAGCAATGAGTTTCACAGATTCACCACCCTCTGGCTAAAG